GTGGTCCCTACTCCAGCTCGATTTCGGAGTGTGATGATTTGAAAAATTCCAGTCCTTTTCATATTTCTATCTCGGCTCGCCCGGGTTTCAAAATATAAATGCCACCCAATAAAACTGATGGGTGGCAGGGTCATTACTTCTTCGCGAAAAACCCCGCTGATACTCCTTACCTGTGTCCTTGGTTCGCCACTTTACCCGACAAGCGGAGGGGGAAACCTCTAGCGATAGACGAATGGCTTTTGAAAATGATTGTTCACTTTCAACCAAGTTATGGTATGCCTGAGACTCTTACCAGTTTTCCACCGATACTTCGCCACTTCTGCTTCCATGACAACGGCACTCATCCCTTAACCCAAGAGGATTTAGGTGGGTTTAAGCATGATACTAGTTTTCTGCTATAGTTCGTCACTCGTTTTGGGTTGTGGCTTTTTATTTGGCTGTATTTTATGCTTGCCGAAGTATTGCATATTTCCTGACCACACTTTCCTTGATCCCATTAACAGATTTAAGGATGAAGAGAATGTTCCGAGGTGAGAAACTGGCGACTCGCCCGTCCGAATCGGAGCCGGAATTTCAGGCGTCTGAGTTCCAGCGCCCCGTGGTTGCTGAATCCGAGAAAAAGTCCCCCGAAGAGGGAGCACTAAGGCAAAGGCCTTCTAAGAAGAGTGCTGTGGCCGCGCGTCCCCGAGATAGCCCACGAGTTGAGGATCCCGAGCCCCCTCGCCGATCTTCGGCCATAGTTACGGTCCCTTCCTCGACACCTCCCTCGGTCGAAGAACAGGTGGAGAAAGAGCCCGCCACAAAAAAGAGAAGGACTGATCTAGCCCTTGGGTTAGTTGGGTCGACTCCCGGGCAGACCGGGTCAGCTTCGGGGCAAGTTGGGTCATCTCTGCCTCCAAACTTTGCACTTCACCTCTGCCAGAATGCAGAGAACGCCATCGCTGCTTGCCGAGCTATGGCGCTTCCCCGAGACGTTGCTCATTTCGGGCAAATGAGCAAGGGTGATCGGCTTGAATTGCTCCTTCATAACATAACGCAGGTTCGTTTTATTTTGCATACGCGAGTTAGTTTTTACGTTTCTTAATCATAGCTGATTTTACTTAAACTCCATGTATGCGTTAGCAATTTGCGATCGCCTTCTCGGGCCCTTTGGGGTGGGATGATGTCTCTCGGGAGGCATACGATAATCAGAAGAAGGAGGTCGGCCAGCTCCGAAAAGAGGTCCGAGGTCTGAAAGAGAGCCTGGCGGTGTCTGAGTCGGCAAAAGAGGGACTGTTTGCCGAGGTGAGGAGGCTACAAGAGAGAGAGAAGATCCTTCAAGCGGAGAAGGACTCTTTGGTATCCCATAATGCGAGTTTGGAGGAGAAAGCCAAAGGGCTTTCTAACGAGCTTTTCGCGGCTGGGAAGCAGGCATCTTCTAACTTCACCGAGGGAGTGAAGGAAGGCCATCGGCTGTTCCCGGGTTCTTCCGAGGGTCTGCGCTTCATGGAGGCGTTCGTCGGTCGTTTTTTCAACCGGCTCTGGCGTTCCACCACATTTACCCGACAAGCGTCTGGCCTAGCTCGCTTCTTCTTTTCGGAGGCGGTGAAAGCTGTTCGGAAACGACTAAGCGGTGCTGGCATCGAGTTCCCGCTAGTCGAGAACGATCTTGCCGAGGACTTACCGGATGATGTTATCCCGGGTTTCGAAGGCGACGTGAATGAAGACCCTGACTTAGAATGGTGGAGGGAGGTACATCGAGAGCTCGTTGTGGACTTCTCTCGCCAGGGAAGCTCTTCGGTGATCATCACCGATTTGGTTGGTGATGTTGAAACTATCGATGCAATGGCGAACCTCAACAGGGTGCCGTCGGACCCTGCCTCCTCTCCTCTCCCATCTGTCGGAGATCAAACCGGGGCCGGGGTGGAGTCGCCGAAGAAGACTTAGCCAATTTCAGCTGTTTCCCATTCATGTATTATGTGCTTTGTATGTGTTTGAACAATCTTTCTTTTTTGTATGTGTTTGAACAATTTTTCTTTGCTCTCCTTATATCGATATATCAGGAGTTCATTTGTTTAAGTATTGCCATTCATGTTTACCTTGAGTAGTTCTTTAGACTTAGCAACTTTTCCTTGCATTCGAATTGAACTGATGATCTTTTAAACTCATATCGACGGTTATTCCATGATTTCCTCAACTCAGTCATTACTCTGATTTTCGCAAGCCTCTTTGATTTTATCGCGGTACTTTGCTTCCATTTCTAGTTTAACTTGCCTCGGTAAAACACGCGAGTTAACGCCACAATGAAACGCACGAATTAATGCCACAACGAAACACGCAAGTTAACGCCACAATAAAACACGCGAGTTAACGCCACAATGAAACACGCGAGTTAACGCCACAATGAAATACGCGAGTTAACGCCACAATAAAAGCTCGCGAGTTAACGCCACAATGAAA